CCCTATCGACTTCCACCCTGCACGCACCCTGAATGGTTTTTTAAGGATGATTTTGATTGATTACATTCATTGCTCGCTGGCTCAGCCCTCCCCACCCTTCCCCCAAGTCTCAGTAACTTAACTCAAGAAAAAGTTTATCTCTTGTTGCTGGGAATTCTGATGCAGACGTGACCACTCTCTTCCCTCTGGGAGCTACGCCTTCTGGAATTCTGGCCACCGGCGACCCTGTGGTCGGGCCAGAGCAGTGGCCCAGCGATCACTCTTATCGCCTTAGCCTTGGAGAGACTCGTCATTTTCTTTTATTTTTTTAAAAAATATATTTTTATTGATTTCAGAGAGGGAGAGAGAGATAGAAACATCAATGATGAGAGAGAACCATTGGTCGGCTGCCTCCTGCACGCCCCACACTGGGGATCGAACCTGAAACCTTTTGTTGTACGGGATGACGCTCCAACCAACTGAGCCACCGCCAGGGCTGTAGGGAAGTTTTAAAACATTATTCACCTCCCACTCACCCTGCCCAGTCCTATCAGATAAGCCTTGAATGTCTCCTCTCTCCTCTCTCCACATTCCAGGTGCTGTTCAACCAGTTCAAGTACTTCTTCAACCTCTATTTCTTACTCCTCGCCTGCTCGCAGTTTGTACCTGAAATGAGACTCGGTGCGCTCTACACCTACTGGGTCCCCCTGGTGAGTAGCGCGCCCTGTCTGCTCAGTGACCGCAGAGCTTGGGGACATAAACAGCTCTTTGTCCCTCTCACTCTAGCATGTGGAATGGGAGAGTAGCCCTTTCAGGGAGAGGGCACCCTCAAGCTAACTCATTGGGCGCCCCCAAGAGTTTAAGCTTGCAGCTCCATTTCCTACATCAGCAGGGTCAGACGATAGTGAGTTCTGTGCCATTCCTTCCTTCTGTCACTCTGCCCCTCCGTCATTCATCGTCTCAGCAAACCGAGTGGCAAACGAGGGAGACCAAGCCCCGGCCTCTGTGGACTGTGCTCTCTGAATTGTTTTCCAAGACCCCATGTTCTACTTACTCTGTGTGTGCTATTTAGGGGGAGGGTTTAAAAAAGTGACAGATTCTGTGCTTTCTGTGTACGAATGTGAGAGAATTGACCAGATTGTCCCTCCATTCCTTCCCTTGCCTGCTTTTCTTTCTTCCTTTCCTTTGGGAAATGGTAATTGAGCAACTACTATGTGCCAGGCACTGTGCTGGGTGCCGAGGGTGCAGCGATGAACAAAACATATAAATTCCTGCTCTCATGGAATTCATTTTCAGAGGGATAGACAATAAACAGATTAACAAAGTTGCTTCAAATTGTGGGAAGGCCTGTGAGGGTTAACAGAATACGGTCATAGGACAGGCGGGGTATCCCAGGCTCCTGGAGTGTTTGCTGAATGGGTGGAGGTAGGGGCTGGGAGCTGTGGAGGGGCAGACTAGCCAGGGTGGCCATGGAAGGCCTCTTGAGGAGGTGATGGGAAGGGGAATAGGAGGGTGGGAGGACTCTGGGCAGACAGCAGCCGTGCAAAGGCCCTGTGGTAGACAGGAGCTCAGAGGACTTGGAGAACAGAAAGCGGCTCAGCATGACTGGCACTGGAGAGGGCAGAGCTGACGTCTTTTTCTCCAGAGACATCATGAAGTGTATGTAATTGCTGCCTGTTTCTCTCTCAGCTGGACTCGGGGAACACTTAGATTCTCTTTTCACAAACATGGTTACATTTTTTAAAAATATTTTTATTGATTTCAGACAGGAAGGGAGAGGGAGAGAGAGATAGAAACATCAATGGTGAGAGAGAATCATTGATTGGCTGCTTCCTGCACGGCCCCTACTGGTGACTGAGCCTGCGCCCCGGGCATGTGCCCTTGACCGGAATCAAAGCCTTCAGTCTGCAGGCTGATGCTCTATCCAAATTGAGCCAAACCAGGTAGAGCTAAATTTTAATTGGAAGAAGATTTGTTTTAACATTTATATTTAGAGAGAGGGGAAAGAGGAAAGAGAGAGGAACTTTGATTTGTTGTTCCACATATAAGAAACAGCCAGTGAATGCATAAATAAGTGGAACAACAAATGTATGTTTCTCGCTCTCTCCCTTCCTGTTTTTCTCTAAAAATAAATAAAGAAAATTTAAAAAAAGGTATACACAGTTCTGAGTAATTTTTCTTTCTAATCTCCAGCATCTCTTCTTGATTTTTGAACACTGACAACTCACTAAAACAATGTGAGAGCACTGTGTGAATTGTACACACTCCGCCCGATGCTCTGCTAGAAGTTGTAGGAGTTCCTTACGACCTCGCGTGGGTGGCTTTGTGCTCAGGGCACCCCACTGGGGCGTGGAATGCTCCAGACCCTGCCTCTCAAGTCTGTGTATTGGTTTCTTTGCAAGCCTAGATGTGCTGCTCTCTACTGCCTCCCAAGGGGCTTCTGTTCATTTTTCTTTTCCTTTTTCAATTACAAAGGGACTCTTCCTTGTTGGAAAAAAATTTGAAGAACAACTGGGGAAAACCCCCACACACAAATGCCCCCGTGCAGCCGCCCCCGAGATGCCCTACTTATGTTTCTGGTAGATTTCTTTCTCGTCTCTTACATGTGCCTGTGTTTTGTGCGCACTCTAACATACAGTGCAGTACATTCTGTATGTTATGTAAATGCGTATGTTTTGTAAATTAGGATCGCAAGTGCTCTCGCAAGGACACGAAGATAGCTGTGTGTCTCCCCTCCTTCCTGCCTCTGGCACCTCAAGCGTGATATCTGACCTGGTACATGTCCTCGTTCTTCATGGTACCCGTCTGCCCAGCCTGTGGTATAAACCCATCATCCGACAGGTTCTAGGGTACAGATCTGTTCACACCCCCACTACCTCGCCTACCTTATCTTGGCATCTATGGTGGGGAGGGGGCATCAGCCACATTGGGAATAAGCTTTTCATTCTCTTAACCAGATTCATATAGATACGACTAAGGGGGAGATGGATTTAACAGGAATTCACACGCCTGAGAAAGTTGGTGAGAATGAGATCAGCTCTGTTGAATTCTCCCAGAGGTGGTCAGCGAGGGTCCTGTGGGCCGGAGGCGAAGCGAGCTGCTGGGGGGGGAAAGGATTCCCTGCTTGATAAAGGAGAACTGAGGGGCCAAGGAGACTCGGGAAGTCGCTTGAGGCCATGGTCGGATGTGAGGGGTTTCGGTCTCACAGCGACGGAGCTCCCTCCCCTTCTCTGAGGAACGGTCTTGGGATGTCAGAAGGGCTCTGGGCTGCACGGGAGGCCGTGTGCACGGGGAGATTCGTTGCGCTTGTTGCGTATAATGAAAAATTGGAAACAAACACTTGTTCGTTGGTAGTTACCCACATGCTGGTGGAGCTGAGCTCCAGGTGCTGCCCAGGAGTGAGAAGCCGGGAAATCACTCCACGGGTGCTGACCCGGGAGGGTGTGACTCATGCTTTTCTTGACGTGGACAAAGCAAGTTGCAGAACAACATGGACCGTATGCTCCAATTTTTATGACCCTCTCCCTCCCCCACAACAAATACAGGGTGGGCAAAAGTAGGTTTACCGTTGTGAGTACCCCAAACAGAGTTCATTCTTGTGTTATTATTTATTAATTAGTGTATATTTATTTGTATTACAACTGGGGTGAGACAAGAGGGCTGGGGGAGTGGTGAGGGCTGGGGTGACCTGGCGGGCTCCCACCCCTTCCAGTCCTGTCTCCTCGCTAAAATGTCCCTGGGATTTTCCAGGAGAAATCAGAGACCTGATTTTCAGTGTAAACCACTGACCCCTGGTTGTCCTGGGACCCGGCCTCAGCTAGAAGCTGGCAGGTTGATGGCAGCCTCGGGCCATCCTGAGGTTTCTAACTGCATCAGGGCCCCTGGGAAGGTTCAGGACGCAGAGGGGATGTTTGTCTTGTAGAAGTCCTGGCTTCCTTTCCGGGGCCTGCAGAGCAGGGAGTTTGGGGTGGAAGATGAATTGGACACCATCTATTTCTAGGTGGCTGTAGCTGACTTCCCCGAAAGGCCCTAGATGTTTGTGCAGGGAATCAACGTGCAGTTCTTGGCTAGAACACATTTTGAAATGTCTCTGACCATCTTGAAAGCCCCGGCATTTCAAACCCAGGTGGGAGCGCAGTGGCTCAGCGTGAGGGCTGTGGAGCGCGTGGTTGAGTGCAGGCCTTGGCCGCACTTTGATGAGAAGTTGTGTCATCTGAACAGACTGCTGAGCCTCAGTTTCCACATCTGTAAAACGGGTGATCAGGTCGTTATTAATGGCTTGTTGGGAGGAATACATGAAATAACAACACGGAAAATGCTTCCGATAGCTCCTGGCAAATAGAAAATAGTCTCATTTTAATTTTTAAAACCTGCGCTAGTGACACTGTTGTTCACTGTCTGGATTAAGTTTTAGTTTTTAATACTTTTCCTTGGTACTAATATAGTAGAGGAAGAATTTCTTCAGGAGATAGCAGAAATAGCCCATAACATTGTATGAAGGCCAAGTAATAAATCTAGATTTTTTTTTGTTATTAAGATATAATTTATACACCATAAAATGCACAGACACGGCCCAGCTGGCGTAGCTCAGTGGTTGAGCGTGGACCTATGAACCAGGAGGTCACGGTTCAATTCCCGGTCAAGGCACATGCCTGGGTCGAGGACTCGATCCCCAGTGTGGGGCGTGCAGGAGCAGCCGATTCATGATTCTCTCTCATCATTGATGTTTTTCTTTCTCTCTTCTCCCTTCCTCTCTGAAATCAATAATACACACACACACACACACACACACACACACACACACACACATATATTAAAAAAATGCACAGACATGGAGTTTCTGATTCAGTGAGTGTTGACCTTCATCAACACCCACGTAAACGCCACCTCAGTAAGCCAAGAACACTTTCATCGCTCCGGAAAGTTCCCAGTGCCCCTTTCCTGCCAACCCCTCCCCCGCCCGAGGCAGCTCTTTTCTGAATTCTCTCTCTTTCAGGCAGTTTTGTTTTCGCAGATCGACTTTTGATGTTCAACATCACCACAGAGCCCTATTGACACCGTCACAGTGGCTCTCTGTGCGCTGCCATCGCCTGCGCTTCTCTATAAGCTCAGCTTGTGCCCGTCGGCCCGGGCCCACGTTCAGACCTCTTTCTAGATGTCTGTGGATGTGCAGGGCCTCCGAAGTTGGACGGCTGGAGTTGATTTCTGGACCACATTTGCATCTCTTTGTAAATAAATTTCTAGCCCAGGGAATGGCTCATCCTCCAGAATTAATGAGAACTGTATGTTTGGGGGCAGGGAAGGGTAGGTTGGATGAACTTGGGAGGCCGTGTTCATTGGCAGCAGGGAGGCTGCAGCTTCTGTCTTTACTTACTTATTTATTTTTTTAATCCTCGCCTGAGGATGTTTTTCCATTGATTTTTAGAGAGCGTGGAAAGGAGGGGAAGAGACAGAGAGAGAGACATACATCGATGTGAGAGAGACACATCAATTGGTTGCCTCCTGCATGTGGGGATCCGGCCACAACCCGCACCCTCCCTTGCCTGGAATTGAACCCGGGACCCTACAGTCCACAGGCTGCAGGTCTGCGTATGCTTTTGTTCTGAAATGGGCCCCTTCTTCACATCTGATTGGCAGCAGGAGGCAGGAGGAGCCCTGTGATTGTAAAATATCTGGGGCTTTGGAGGAGGTCCACAAAGCAGCGCCTCTCTGGCTAGATTTACATAAGGGATCTGAATCAAAGTTAATGTATTTCACAGGGTCAACAGCATGAAAATGAGGTCAGCAAGCCATCCCTACTGCTGCCCTCCGTGGGAACCTTGCTGCCTGTGTTTTTAAAAAGTGATTTTAAAAGGAGGGATGATAAGGGCATCTCGTAAGAAAAATGAATGAGGCCCTGGCCGGGTAGCTCAGTTGGTTAGA